TAAAAAGCAACTGTGATCGGGAAAATTACACCCATTAGGATAATTAATGTTATGTAGATCACCGTCACGGAGCTTCTGCAATCACTTAAAGTTAATATTATCATGAAATTACGAGTTAGTAAATGAACTATAAATTTAGTTTTTTGGTGGTTATGATAACTTACAAACGTGGAATATATTCTACGCACAATACTAATTAGTCAGATTATATTTTATCAAATAAAGTAGGCATGTTTAAAGATTTAACTACATTTACAGATACAATAAAACAGTGGGTCTTTAAAATATTGACTTCTGTATAAACTACATTCTTACATAAAACAAACCACCAGGGAAAATATACTGCCATAACTGCATTTAACTCAAAGATATTGCCCGCTATAAATTCACTTAGTCGCTTGAGATCGTAAAGTTTTTACATCAGCTACAGTTATGGTGTTACAATGCAAATGAATTTAACTCTCAACAAACTATTTAAATCTCCACCACCTTGATAACCTCTTATTTGATGACGCAAATAGGTTGAACGAAAAATAATAAACAAAAACATTGGTCACAAAGTTTCAGCAATATATATAGAGTGCTTGAAAAACATTTTTGGTCATAAAATGTTTATGGTGGAAACAAAACTTATTTTACGATGCGTTGATGTTCTTCCGAACAAGGAATGGAACGGATGTTTTAACAGATACGGTGATCTTAAATTTATGTTTTATGTATTTGTATTTGTAGAATAAATTTATTGTATGAACACCACGGACTACTAGAATCTCAAGAGACCAGTAGCGGTCCTCCTTAATGGTAAATCGTAATCATGATATAATAATCAGTTGAATTCCAATAAGAAACTTAATATATAGATTGACTTTGTCTACTTGAAATAAATTAAACACTATCATTTATATTAAATGTTGATGAGAAATTGGTGTGAAAACCTTATTTATCTCAAGAAAAAAAATCTATATTTGCAGTCCAAAGAGTAAAACCAGATAAAAGTATATAAAGATAACTCGCATCAAAACACAAGAATATAAATGTTACGTGGTCAGCTGGTGCAGGCCAGTAGTGACGCAATATTGGCCTTGGCTGTTTTATCTAGCATTTTTACTATAGTCTCAACAAAGGGATTTAATAAAAAAAATCAATGTTTTCATTTTCATTATATTGTGGATATTTTTTTTATCATTTCTTATGGAAAGTTTTGCCGTCTATAGTACCTAAAAATTCTAACTGTCTGTTAACAAATTATATTATTGTCACAAAATTAGGTAGGTCTGATAATTGAGTAAAGGTAACAACAAATTCCCAAGGAACTGCATTTCAGAACTAGTAAACAGTCAAAAAATTACATTTTCTTTTGTTTTACTATTTATAAGAGCACTGATTCCTTATTACATTAATTTTGTAGTTAATTCTTTAAATTAATTTTGTCGTAAATTGTAGCCCTTCTCAATTTATAAGTCTTTATAATATATAAGAAGCGTATCAGATGTATTATAAAATTAAATTATCGACTTAAAAACACTAAGTAGAATAAAAGGTTTCAAGAAGTTCAATAGAACAACATGTAATTGCATTATTTTTTATATGTTTAAGCTGAACAAAACGTTTTAAGTAGTCACAGTGCCTCGTCACGTCGCAGTTGTCGAAGTCACCTTGTCACGATTCGAACTCGGTTATTGGATTAAAGTTAAGCGGGTCAAGTGTGTCAACCACGCATTTACAGTAAAAAGGCCAGCGTTTTGTCTACTACATAGTTAGATACTTTATTTTTGTTAACTTTCGAGTTCCAGGTAATATGTTGAAGAACAAGATTTAAATTTCTATAACTTATTTTTTTGTCATAGATAAATATTGAAAAATATAATCCAAAGATTACATGCATGGAAGGTAATGTGAAGAAAAGTTTGTTATGTCAAAATTATAGATAATGTTAATATAAACAATACTAAAGATTTTTTTATAAAATTTTGGAACACGTATTCTAAAAAACATAATTAAGATTTTTTTTAATAAACATAAATACAATGGCAAAACACGAGAATATTATAATGCTATATTTTTCCAATGGATTGACTGTAGAACTTTGTTCATTTGTTTTGTTTTCTTAGGTTGAATCAATAGAAAGCTTTGTCAGCCAGCAAATAAATCTTATATCCTCTATATTAACATCGGAGGCAAATTGGAAAAATCTTGAGAATCTCAGAAAAGAAAGTTAAGAGCGCGTTTCTGCCTCTTTGACTAATCAGAAATTCTTTTATTTATTTTTCTGTATTTATTTGGATGACATCATTAATATTTAATAAACTTTAACTTTCTCTATGAACGTATTTAAGTAAAGTAAACATAGCTATATTTAATTGAAAACAAATATTTATGTAAACAAAGTAACTCGTACTTACCGTATATGAATAAAACATTTCATTAGAAAAGCTGTACCGACGACACAAGAAACAGTATTAAGTGGGTGACACGACAAAGAATACTAACGGTAAATAGAAGTGACACTCGCGGCGAACATAAAGAGGCGAAACACAATACAATTCTGCTTCGGACGCCTTTGTATAAAACATGTCCTTTTCAGGTCACTTCCAGTGCTGGGTACTCTAGAAATAATTATGAGAACAGTTTTGAAGAAAACACTCTCATTGTAGGATAAATAATTAAGTTGTTTTCACGTGGTTTGTTCAGTTCAGTAGATTTCGAAGAAAAACGATTTAAACCAATGTTATGCTCAATTAAACCAAATTGATTTATATCTGTTAATAGGAAGTGAGATAAGTTTTATATAGACATTATTTTGTTATGAAATAAAAAATAAAAGAATATACAGGGTGACTGGTGAATTACTATCAATATTTAAGGAGCATACTCGGTACATGATTCTCATTCGAATTATGTAAAAAAAATAGGTACTTAATTTTTGACCAAATTTCCGTATAAATAAATAAAGTGTGTACACGTTCCAAGTGTTCCTAGTGTGGACGCGTGCGGCGGCGTGCTGATACAACAACACGCCGCCGCGCGCGTATGTGTGAGTGTGTAGTGTAGAGTAATCTGTAGGATGTTCATACGATGCGTAATTAATTACACAACTTTTGGTTAACTTTACTTAGAAGTTTATTAATATTTATGTTATATTAATTTTTATTTCGTCATATATGATCGTCAAAAATCACGTCCTCAAATATATGTAGATAGTAATTCACCAGTCACCCTGTATATATTTCAAGTAACTACTTTTATAAAAAGACTTATTACTAAAAATATATACGTATAATATTTTATTTGTCCACATTTTTTTCTCTAATTATAGTATTATCATTATATTATACGGAATCAAATATTTATCTCATTACACGTAATGCCATAAGTGACTATACACAGTTTCTAACAAGGTTCGCAACTCTCCTGTCTTTCAAGTTTTGCATTCTTTCAGAGGGTTGCCATAATAACGTGAAGCTACGTCGACGTTATTTCAACTTATTTCGGTTTATGAACACTTTGAAAATATTAAATTTTCTCCAAGCCTCCTATGGATATGCAGAGTAATTTGTTAAAGAAAATTTATTTACAGTGATATTGTGTATACATTCTCTTACACTAATCTGTACCTTTTACATTATTAACGTGTTTTTGGTGCTATGCAGAAAGGGCATATATTTATAGAACACTCTTTGATCAGACTGTTAAATATTTTATGTCAAAGTTTCAACGTCTTATATTTGTTTAGTGTTGATCATTTTCAAACTTAAATTTAAAAATATAAGCTACGGCTCGCTAGGTTAATTGATAAATTGACTAGAAACCGAAATTATATAAATTGAAGGTTATTCAGTTAGCCTAAAACAATTTCTCATAATATATTCCCATCTAATACATTAAAATATTTAAATTGTCGATCTATTTGGAGTCTGATATTTTGGATCATTCATAAAATTATTTTTCCCGTGAGTAAATGTTATTTATTAGAGTTATTATAAAAAAATATATTATGTAGAAGAGCGACTGCCTAAAGCAAGTATATTGAGGTAATAAAAACCCATCATATCCAGTGTTATATCCGCCCAATTTGATAACAGAAATGTAATGATGGGACAATTTTGGATCGTTGTAATAAATGAAAAAATACCCCAACATCTTTTGATGTCAAGAAAAGAACAAAAAACGACAATACAAAATCAAATAATATAATTTACTTTTAATGACAAGAACGTATAAAAAGAAAATAATTAAATTTACATTAATGGCAGGAAACGGATACTTCTACTTTTATTGAACTGAATTTTCTATATTTGAAAAATAATTAATTAATTTAAGTCATTTTAGTTTATTTTTATTTAACTAATATAGGTATGTACATATTATAATGTTATGTACAACGAAACTCTATGGCAAAGTCTATGGCAGTTTTAATTAATATTTTTTTATAAGTTGCAATGTTTGAAAGGAAAATTCAAATTATACTCCTATTTAAAATAATTTGTTGTTATTGCGATTTACATGTCTTTAGTGATGACTGGTATATAAAACTAGATCTTCTTTACAGTTACGTAGATATTGTATATTTATACATATGAGGCATAATACAAAATTCTAGAGTATGTTTGTGCTTCGGCCTCGAGACCAGATCTATTTAGGTATTCAATAATTTTAAAGGGCTTTCTGTTAACAGATCTTACGATTCCTTGGGAAACCAACATTCCCAAAGACCATGCCATGTAGGTCGGACCAAAATGTAATTACGTTTACTTTAAATAAATAATATAAGTCATGTACAATTATTATCTATAGTAAAATTTCAATATTAATTAGTAATACTTTGTTGCAGGTATAACGAAAAAAAATAAATAAATATATGTACATCAAACATGTGTTTGAAGCGTACATTTGTACAAAAAAGTATGATGGATATACCGAAGAGGCTTAAGTGAATTAAGCGATATAGAAAAAATAAAAAATGTCGGTAAAAGCCAGTGTGGGTTAAGTGAAGGAGCAAAATGGCCAGCAAAGGTTTTGGCGAGGTGATCAGCTTTTTCTTGGCCGTGGCTTTCTGTGTTACGTGCCCAGAATATGGTAAGTCACCTGTATAATAATTATTATCGTATATTACATTTTACTTAGCTGTTTACACACACATACATACATATTTATTTATTTCTCTTTAATAGTCTTCTTTTTGTATGATTCTTTTCTTTCTGAGAGGAAGTGTTTAATAGTTATCTAAAGATCACTATTCAATTAAAATTATAAAAGTCTATATTTTTATAATATTTATATAAAATGAAATGACTGCTTTTAAAAGAAAATTCCTTTAAAATGAGAGAGTATTTTCCAAGGCACCGCTTAGCGCCTACAGCGCTCGTTCCACAAAGTAATGTCAAGATTTCAATTGAAAATGTTGTTGAGATCAAAAGAATTACCATCTTGTTCCGACCAACCAAGTCCTTATTCGAAGTCGGGAAATCAACGAACCTTATTTGCGGACAATGAAAACATTTTATGTAAATAAAATGTGAGATTATGATTACAAAATTATGATTTTTAACAAGGAACGGAAAGTTTTAACAAGATATGGTTTTTTAAAGTTTTTAACATTGCGTTGCATACAATTTGTTGCTTGTACATTTTTCCCTAAAATTTACATATACATATATATATCAAATTGCATTGTCCTTGTTGTAATTATTATTGTAGATATTATTTTGTTTTGTTATAATATTACAAGACAAAGATTCATTGACCAGATTTCATTTTTGATAGATTTCTAGATAGATTTCTTGATAGATTTCTAGGACCAATATAGTAGGTATAGAACTTCTATTCCTACTATACTGGTCCTTCTATTTTAAGTATACATAAAAACTTTTACTCAATTTACAATATAAAAAACTTTTTATCGTAATTCAATGTTAGATTAGTATCACAACACTTTTTTAAATATCTAATCTCAATAAAATTAAAACATTTATCTTAAAATTACCGAACCTCATTTTAATTTTGTTTACATTTTTGGAATTAAATTCAATCGAAAAAAATCATCCTAAACTTAAAGAATAATATATTCGCAACTTCGGGCAATGATATAAGGCTTTTGAATTGGATTGTACAATAAAAAAGAAAAAGAAGAACATACAATTTAATCTTATTTAGATTAGAGCCATTGAACCAAAGCATTAGTTATAATACTTATACATTATGTATGTGTTTATCATGAAGGAAGAATAAAGTTTTACCAAAAATTGTCATCCTTTAAGTTATTTATAGAGAGGCTATTTATTAAACTTTTAGTAAAAGACTGTTTTTGAAAATGGCCTTTTTAAAATATGTATTCATCGTTTATTAAACTTAATTTATGTGAATACATGGTATCGACGTATCCGTTCAAAACAAATTAATTTACTCCAAATATCGTTTGAAACAGCCATTACCTTTAACCTTTTACTGCATGGAATGGTTAAACGAAACTGAGCTTTTAACAGAAGTTAATTAGGTAACGGGTTATCGGAATTACTTAAAATTTTATATGAATACGCTTATATTTAATTAATTCGAAACATCAAAGCCTACATTTTGCTGTTTTGTACCATCACAAAGTAAGTACCTACACTGTATATAATTTTCTAGCTAAATTTTGTTTCGCAATATTTAAAAAAAATCTGTATATTCGCAACTTTTCTCACAGTTCTTTATATAAGCGTCCTTAAAGCTGTGTTTTTATTTTAAATAGTTTTAAAATGTTTAGAAATCTATAAAAACTTCTATAGAATATTAACTTGTCACGTTAATGTATCTTTTAAATAAAATTAAACTGCAAAATTTCATATAACATTGTTTCTTATCCTTACCATTAAACAAATGTAATATCCCCTCTGGTTAGAGAAATATTAACCAAGCATTTTGTGAAATAAACAAATAACAGACACTTGATGAATAAATACTATCAAAGCAAACGATCTTTGTCATGTAACATGAAATATAACTACATTTAGTCTTAATAGTACGTACAAATGAATTAATTTGAATTTTGTTTACACTAGTTATTGAATCGCAAATTAACTTCGACATCAACAGGTTATTGCTGAATGTTTGACGTACTCAAGTAAAGGTTAGCAAGGGTTGTAATCTTGTTGAATTATAGAATATAAAATGGATTGCTTCGATAAACGCTATTGACCCAAAAGTAATTGGATAGCAATTCTTCCCTCTCAAGTGATTGATTGCAAAACCAAGTAATATTTGGGGCTTCTTATTTCATAGAGACCGAATGCTTAAAGCTTTCAGCCGATATTTGCTTACCATTGTATTTCCAAATTATAAGTTTTATATTTCATCAGTTTATAACCAAACGTTCATCGTGATACTTTAAGGTTTCACAAACCATGTCTTATAAAATTTCTCACAAATGGTTTTTGGAAGAAGACATTTTAAAGCCACTATAGTAAAGTTCTAAAGATGAAACAATGCAATACTGGAATTCCTTTTATGTTGGAAGAGAACTTGGCTGTGTTTTAGGTTTCATTTTTGTCTGTAAACGTTTATGCGCTCAGTTTGAATTTTTATCTCATTTTAGAATCAATTTATTCAATTTTGTAATAAAATTTTTGACTTTACATCTCGTTACACAACCTATTTTAATTGTTCGTAAGATATACAATAACGTAACATTCAGAGACTAAGTTAGTGAATACAAATCCCCATCTGAATTGGCAAATTGAAAACTGAAACCTTAAATATAAATATTTCAAGAATAATTGTGAATATTATTTTCTCACAGATAGCCTTTCTGAAAAGTTAATTTGTTTATAGGTATTCTTCAATTTAACTAGTTTTTATAACTGTCTATATCAAAGAACCCATAAAGGAAACAAAGTATATAAACGTTTTGGCTATTATATGTATGTATAACAGAACCTTGCAATGCGTCTTTGTTAATCTTTGCCCACCCAACATTAAAAGTCAAATCCCTCCCTAAATTTGCATAGTTTTACACTTCCACTGGGTTTCGCAGCGTAATTTATGCTTTTGCTGCTTAAATTAACAATCGCGATAGTGAGTCTAGACTTGAGTGCATGCATATTAGGTAGCAAAGCGAGTGATAAGGTATGCTTTTGTATGCTTAGTTGCCAGTAACTGATATTATTTCTCTATATATATAATTAAGGTACATTTCAAAAGCATTCAATATAATATTTATGACTTTTCTTAAAATGACACTTTCATTTGTATGATTTTTTAAACGTAAGAAGTAAATTATTTCTCAGTTAATTCCTATAAGTTACAAGTGTTAAAAAAGTGCTTACAATTGTAAAATCATCTAAAGTATCGTAACAGATCATTAGAACGGGGATTGATTATTATAAAATCATTTGATCTAAATGTCGCAAATCCTTTTTTTAAAGAGAACTAGTGAAACAAATCCTCTTGGTTTAATTTCAACACAATATTTATTTATTTATGTTTTTATAAAACATTTTAAACTCTAGTACTATAAAACTTTTAAAAATTTACTAGAAGTGAAATTTTTAAGAACTTCAATGTTTCATAATCAACACCCAGGTTTTCTAAAGAGCCGCCTGCAAAGTTGCTTCGATAAAATTCCGTCCATTACCCCGAACTATTCCGGATTCCGGGATTACCGATCCCGAGGGATCGCATGCTCATAGACGCCGGGCACGTGCCTCTGTAAGCGCTGGGATCAGTTCCTTAGCTCTACTTGAAGAATTAAAAGATCTGAACCATTCGAAAGAATCCAATAGGATATATTTTATAAATGAGTTAGATTTAGTATAACTGTGAAAATCAATAACACACGGTAAAAACAAGGATTTATGTATTTTAATATCCGTTTTGATATAATACTCACGGGTTTTATGAAGTCACTTTTTTGACAAATTAATTAAAGTTATGAGTACGTACATACATAATAAATACAAAAAGGGATTTTTTTTTAGTTTTATTTAATAATAATTAAGTGCATAGCTTTCCTCCCAATAACTTATTTTCTTCAAAGATGGTCAAAGATATTGATTAAAGTCTTTAATGATAATTCATGTGGTTTGACGTACTTTAAGTCTAACAGCAATAAAGCAGGTTATAAAACTAAAAGTTCGTTTAATACACGGCAAAATTATTCAGAGAAAGTTTTCAAATTAAGAAATACCTAATAATTCAGAATAATCACTTTTGGTTTCACTAAAATTCTAATTCTGTGAAAATAATTACCTTAATACGATTGGTGAACAGAAATGACTGTTAAATTTAAATAACGAGTTGTTCATAAGCTATTGATTGGTTTCCGATGTTAAGTCAATGGAGGTCATGGCTCATTCTAGAGCATAATTATAATGCGTTCCTAATAATGTAAATATTTTTAGTTTTTGGGCAACTTTGGCAATATTTAATTTAACTTACTAGTCTTATATATAAAAATCTCAAATTCTTATATGACTAGATCTTAAAATGAAAACAATGCAAGGGCAATGACGTGTTTTGTAATGTTATTTAAAATTCCAAGAAAAATATCGCTCGTCATTTAAATTCACAACTTTTCGTTACGTGAAAGCTTATATTACATTTCAAATTTTCTATAGCCACAAAACAATAATGTGTCATTATAAAAAACATGTAATATTACGTTTTTACTTGATATTAAGCTAATTTTTTTCTTTGAAAGGACAAAATATTACTACAGGTGAAGAAATAATTAGCCAGTGTGTAATATATATAAATAATTTTAGCGACTGTTTTGGTTCTGATCTCGTTTAAGACTCCAACAAGATTCTATTTGCATTCTTAGGAACAATTCCATTGTGAACGTTCCCTATTACGACAATGTCCTGATAGAACCTTTCTACTCTATCAGCATACAAAGCACCAAATTTTGGAAAAAGATATCAAGAAGAGATTCCTACACGATTTGTTGTATAAATTACACCAAAAAGTTTTATTTGAAATTATAACTTTATTTACTATCCTTTTTTAGCTAACCACAAAAAATATCTAGGCGAGTTAACTTTACGAGCTCTTCTTATACTCTATTAGTACGTGCCATTCATATTCCTTATACAAACACA